ACATCTTTTATTTATTTTTTTATCATCAACCCTCTTCCATCTTGCTGTATTTTCCTAAACCTTTCGAAATACATCACAAAATGGAACAGGTTCAGTCTGAAGCACATTTTCTATCACACTGCCTTCATTACTGCTACGTAGCACTCATACCTGACTGTGATTTAGGATTCGCTCGTCTGGCACTCACTGGGACAATTTCAGTCTTTTGACATGGATCAGGAATTCAGTGGATACGGATGAGTGATTGTACTCTTGAGACTGGGCTTTGCGTCTACCTGTCTCGCTTCATGAAGACATTTCTGACAGTTCAGTCTGAAAAGTAGGGTTTTATTTTCTTTTTCTTTCTTTTCTTTGTCAATGTCCACATCAACTTCACTGGTTAGAAGAAGGGAAATCAAACAGAAGCAGTTTTACAGGAATGAATAAAGTACAATGATATTTAAGCCTCACATGGACTGCTTTTGATCGTTCTAAAGTTCTCTTGCTACAACTTTCAAATCCACAGGGTATGTAGCCTATAGGGATGGGAAATGGGAATAAAAACATCAGACGAGACAGATTTAGCAAAAAACATGTTTAATCTCTCCTTGATGCGTGTCTATTTACAAGTAATAAATCTGCAAAATAGGAAAGAGCAGGATATGTACACAGGCGTGAAACAGCCAAAACCTCTCACAGCAGCTTCAAATCTGAAACTCTTAAAAAGGTATCAGAATTCATAAAGTATTAAAACTCTTTAAGGTATTTTTTTTTTCTAACTCTCTTCTTTAATTTGTGGGTGATTTTTTTTTCCCGTCCTATGCTTCTTCTCTGAAATGTACTTAAATTAAAATGAACTCAGTAGGTGAGGCAGCCGGAGAGAACTGGAGGGATGAGAAACTGAATGTTGCTGTTGTGGAGGATCATAAATGGCACATTGAGTATTAAAGTTGTGCGTTGGGGTGTTTATATGGGTCTGAGGAGGCACCATGTTGGAAGGTGCAGCACATACTGAAAAACAAGTACATTTCACACACAAACGTCAGAATATATTTAGACATGGCTTTCGGAATATACCAAACATTTTTGTTGGTTCCCTGATGTATTATTAATTTTTAATCTAAAGAAAAGTTTAACGTTTTTAAAAAATACTCCTACTAACTTTCTTGCTGAGAGTAAGATGGTAAAACTACTGTCATATCTGTATGCTAAATTGCAAGTTATAGCTACGCTAAGATTAGCTTAGCTTTGCAGTAGAACTAGATGCAGGGGGGAAAAAACAAGGCCAGGTCTTTCTTAAAGTAAAAACACCCAGCTAAAGTGTGTCTACAAGCTAGCTAAGCAGTGCACGTGGTACACTTTTCTTAACCTTCCAACATAAATAAGCTAGCTCTTTTTCACTGTTTCCAGTCGTTATGCTAAGCTAGCTAACTACATCCTGGCTCTAGCATACAGTTAACGGACAGATATGACTCTTGGTATTAATCTTCTCCACTTGGTAAGAAATAAGTGTTGTTGCTCTGAGAATTAACATACAACACATTTTCTTTGAACAATCCATGTTTTGTTTTCTGTCTAAAGATAGACTTCCCAGCAATTAAATATACCCTTGGCCATGGAGGTATGCACTCTATTTAGCTACATCTTTCTAGTCCACTTTTTCTTCAAGAGTAAGATGATAATTATATTAGATTAGATTCAACCTATTGTCATTACGTAGTACAGGTACTATGTAACAAAACGGTTTCTCTGCATTTGACCCATCCTTGTGTTAGGAGCAGTGGGCTCCCATTATTACGGCGCCCGGATAATGGTAGCCCTCAATTTATCTTTTCTCTGCATGTTAAGCCCTGTTAAGTGAATGTCAGGTTGTAGTTAGCCTTGCATAAGGGCTAAAGCAGGGAGGGTTTCAAGTGAAGTGACACACATTTTGTTATAATAATTAATTATTAATAATAATAATAATAATAATATTAACACAATTTTTCTCGACTAGTCACTGTGCGCAAAATAGTTTCATGTCACTTTATACATAACATTTGACATCATGTATTCTAAAGGGTAAATAAATGGGTTTGCTTAGACAGCATTTAAGATTGCATATTTTTGAATATATGGACAAAACCAGGTTAGCTCTTTAGTTTTGCGCACTAATCTAGGCTAATCTTGTCCTGTCATTGGATTACTTCTCATCTCAGTCTCGGAAAGAAAGTAAATGAGCACATTTCACAAAAATATTGCACTAGTATCTAACACTCTTAAAAAAATACATGTTTTTCAGTATGGGAAGAGCCAGACAAGGCACAGTGAACAGTTCTGTGTTCGCCAATCATCGAGAGAGCCTTTTCCTCCACCACCCTCCTCCCTCCTCCACCAATGTCTCTTTCTGTGTAGAAGTCGAACGCCACAGATGCAATGGAATTTAAAATGAAGCAGTACCATGGCCTTCAAAGCGCTTCCTCTGTCATGGCTAAGTCTTTTTATCTTTTACCCCAACAAGTGTTGAAGCAGAAAAAAAAGAAGCAAAACTAAGAAACAAAGGCACCAGAGACCAAATGGGCCTCCTATCGCACCTTGCTGAACTTTTTTTTTCACATTACTTCACTAACTAAGCCTCATTACTGTTTGCACATCACTAAAATCATTGTCACAAATCTCCATCACAAGAAAAATTGAGCCAGTGATATGCAGTGAAACATCAAAACAGAGGTCCATGTCATTCATACAAATTGAACAGTTAATGAGTTTTACATGGAAGTAACATCACCTCAATTTCACCATTCATCAAGCATAAAGACACTTAATAACGTCAAAGAGTGGTATTTAAATGACTATAGCTGAGTGATAAAATCAATTAGTGGAAGAACTGAATAGCAGGTGGATCAAAAATAATCTCTTGTCATTGAGATGTTCTCCTGATTTGAATGGATAAAGCTTTGGTCTGTATGTTGTTTTACCCTGTGTAGATCAGTAGTTCAAGTATTGGAGCACATACAGTACATTTCTTTCGGTCCAGACACATATTTGCTGTCAGATCAAAAAACACCACGTTGAAGAGAACTAGAGGCTAATACCTAAAGATCTGGATTTTTAAAGGGTTATATAATCATTTTAAATCTATAGGGAAATGATTGACTTTTAAACTCGAGAGTTTGCATCCGACAGCAGCAATGTGTGAGGTTCGGTACAGGTCTGGTAAGTACTCTGGTGAGTACACCCCGACAAAAAAAGGAAAAAACAAAGAAGGAGATGGCTTTAAAATTTGCTAAAGAACTGCTAGCTTCTTCTGCGGTTAATGTCACTTGAACAAACAAAATATGTATTATTTTGAATATAACTTATCAACTACTTTTAAACAACTGTTTGGCTTTTTAAGTTTACAATTATTCCTTGAGTATGTGAATGTACCATCAGAGAACACTATATTTCTTTACTATCTTGAAATTAGCAAATAATCCAATATATGCTAGTTGGATGCGATAGCACTGGGAAATGACAAAACAGGAAGTGAGCAGGTCTTTAGTGAAAACCGATATATCAAGTGCTTGAAAGCTGGGAGTTTTCTTTTGATTCACTGCAGTCACAATTTCTATGTCAGAAACAACTGACATTTTTCAGCAAGGCTCCTGATGCACCTGCAGAGCTCTTTTCTATCTGATCTGGACTGAAACAGAGGAGTCTGGTATCAGCTGATTAAAGACTTTCCACTGTCTCACATGGGGGAACACAATCAGAGGGAAGCACTGAGAAGAGGAAGGAAAGGAAAATGATTTTGAGGCACCTGTAACAGTTTCCTTGAAAATCATGTTGTGCTGCATTTGATCCTACATTTTTGTCACTTTTTTGCTATTTGTTCTTTTAAACCAAACATTCAGGGATAAGTACAGGAGTCGTAAACTGGTTATTCCTATGTCTTGTTTATGAATGTTTTTTGAAGCACTGCAAGGAAATGTGGACCCATTGGAAAGAAACGCTGCTTTTTTTATCCTTATGAAACAACGAAAAAGAAAATAAAGAAAGGCCTTCAACTGGTACAAACACACTTAAAAAAATCAATCTACAATTCGTAAACCACATTCACATTTCAAAAGTGGAACCTTGAGCTTTACCGTTTTTACCAGAAAACAAGTCAGATATGAGACAATACTGGTTCACCTTCTTCTGCAGACCTTCGTTTTCGGCGTGCACACATTTTCAGACAAGAGAAGCCGACAAGATGAAGAAGCTGGATTCAACTGTTCATATGACCACCTGGTGCCTCTAAAGTTGTTCCTTGCTTCCACAAAATGACTTTACTGTAATTTCAATCAGCTAAACCAGGCCTTGGTGTATTTGGTTTCTCTAAAACAAGCACAAAGCACTGAAGGGCGGTCGGCTCACGTACACCAATTTTATTTTTACTACCTTAAGAGCCAAGAACGTAGCTCACAAAGGTCCCAGGACCTCATGAAATATAGAAACTGTCTGTAATATATATATTTTTTTCCATTTACCTATTTTTAAACTCTCACTGTCAGTCACAAAGCATGACAACATTTTTCATCATAGCACATTTCATCTAACGAAAAAGAAGTCTCTTTGCACTAAACGACATTCAAAGTAAAACATGGCACAGGACGACTTTTTCCTCTTGTTTTCATAATGTTTTTTCTTGGAAATATCAAATCTTCTTCTCAATCTTTTGTACCGTACATTAAAATGGAAAACATTTTTTTTTCTTCAACAAAATGTTTTGTATTTATATATCTATATATATATATATATATATATATATATATATATATATACTATATGCATTTATTCTTTTCTTGCCCTAACTTTTATTCATTTTCTCTGTAGTTTTCTTTATTTCTTTTTACTCCTTCATTTCTTTACGTTTTTGACGCAATGTTGTATTAGGATGATTCACGGGAGGGCTTCTTCCCATAAGCTATGCTTCAGCCCTCCCGCTACTCATTTTGTTTATCTTTGTGTGTATGAATTATACTTC